TTTCAAAAATAGAGAGAAGAGAGAAAAGAAATTAAAACTATCCGCAACACTAGACTTTCCACACTTTCGCTTCATTCGATTATGATTCGACGTGAAAGTTACTCATCACTGGGTTTGTTTTTGGGGAGACACAAATGGGTTTCTACAATATCCCACTGGCTTTACACCTTCAGGTGTACGGACTACAGGTCCGAATACTTCTCTTTTCCCAAGAGATTTTAATTCTGCTTCAATTCCTTCTTTCCATTTTGGCCAATCATTTCTTTTTCTACATTCTTCAATGGATTTTGGTTCATGATCCTCATCATTATCCATGACATCTAATGCTACATTTTATGCAAAAACATCATCGACGTCGATTTGATTTCGGTTCCATGTAATTCTAGACATGATATAATTTGTTGAAATTTCTTCATTATCAGGTACCTGAATTTCTTCTTGTATCATGTCTAAAGTCTCTTCTGGAGATCCTTCGGAAATTGTTTCTTCAATTTGACCATCATCAATCAATGCTTCTTTTCTTTTTCGAGGATTCTTATCTTTGGAACCTATTGGTCTTCCACGTTTCTGACGTGGTTTAGACTCATTAGCAAATTTATTTTTTCCTTCCGGGACATCTATTTTAAATGGAGCACTTACAGCTAGAATATGTGACTTGGTCACTCTTTTTGGGTCAGCAAATGAGTCTGGCAATTGATTTGCTAAACTTTGTAAATGAATTATCTTTTGAACTTCCAGTTCACATTGTTTAGTTCGAGGATCAAGATAAGATAATGATAATTCATTCCATTTAATTTCCTTTTCTAGCTCTCTCTTTTCTCTCCCTATTGTTGGGAAAAGTGACTTGTTATAATGACAATCTGCAAAACGATCCGTAAATAAATCCCCTGTTGTAGGCTCAAGATATTTAATTATTGACGGGGATTCAAACCCAACATATATTCCCAACCTCCTTTGAGGACCCATCTTATAGCGTTGTGGTGGAGCTATTGGAACATAAACCGCACATATAAAAATTCTTAGATGGGAAATATTTGGTTCCTAACCATAAACCAATTGTAATGGGGAGAACTTGTGATAACTTGTTGGCCTAATGCGAATTAGTGCTGCTGCATGTAATATAGCATGTCCCCAAGAAGAAATTAGGAGATTGGATTTCATAAGCAATGGTCTAGCAATTAACAGAAGACGTTTAATTAATGACTCAGCCAGACCATTTTGTGTATGAACATGTGCTACAGGATGTTCAACATTTATCCCAATGGACATGCAATAATCATTGAAAGCTTGAGATGTAAATTCACCAGCATTATCAAGCCGAATAGTCTTAATAGGAGTATCTGGAAAATGTGCCCGTAACTTAATCAATTGGGCAAGTAATCTCGCAAACTCAAGGTTACGAGTTGATAACAAGGATACATGTGACCATCTAGTTGATGCATCAATTAAAACTATAAAATATCTAAATTGTCCACATGGGGGATGTATGGGCCCACAAATATCTCCTTGTATACGTTCCAGAAAACTAATTGATTCAAAATTAATTTTAGTTGATGATGGACGAATTATTAACTTGCCTTCTGAGCAAGCAGCACATGAAAAATTATTATGAAGAATCTGCCGGCTCATGAATTCGTAATTATTTTTCGCATCATTATTGAACCGGGATGGCCTAACCGGTCATGCCAAACAACAAAGTTATCAGTAAACTTCTGGTTTACTATAGCATGAGTTTCAATAGTATTGATTTTTTGTAGTACAAACCACTGGAGAATGTAGGGAGTTTCTCCAAAACTTGTTTTGTGCGTTGAGTTATATTTGTGATTTGAAGGAATTCGTTATTTTCTTCATTGATTGTCTCAATATGATAAACATTGTTGTGAATATCCTTAAAACTTAATAAATTTCTTTGAGACAATGGGGAGTATAAAGCATCAATTATTTTAATTTCAGTTCCCCAAGGCAATTTTATAGTGGCTCTTTCGGAGCCCTCAATAATATTTGTACTACCCGATATGGTACTCACATTAATCCTTTTCATCATTAATGTAGAGAAGTATTCTTTATTTATAAGTATTGTATGAGTAGTTGCACTGTCAGCAAGACATAATTCTTCACCATTCATAGCAAACTGAACTTGAGTAATATCCATGTTCTTCATGAAATAAAATATATGTCAAAATATTAAGCATAAAAATAAAGATGATAAAATAAATAATTCAATAAAAACACTCAAATGGTTCATAAATTCATAAAGCATATAAAGTCCTTATTACAACCATAGAAAATAACATAAGTAAATAACTAGATAAATTCTAATACTTAAAGTTGACATAAAGTAATATAAATTTAATTATTCCCTTCTGAAGCATTGAAGAAATCACCAACTTCTAAATGAGTTGTACTGCCAAAATCAAAATTATTCCCTTCCGGAGAAGTAAGGAAATTAGCAACATCGAAATGATTTTCATTGCCAAATCAAAATCACCTTCACCATCTTGAAGAACAAGGTTTGCCTCAACTTTCTTTCCTTTCTTCAATGATTCTTGATAAAGTTCAGCAAGATGCTTTAGATTTCTACAAACCCGAGACCAATGGCCTTTTCCTCCACAACGGTAACTTATATTGGTCTCATTTTTCTCTTTATCATCCCTACGTTCCCACTTCTGGTGGGAATGAGAATTTGTGTAATGACCTCCACGACCTTTACCATATCCACTAAAACCATGCCCACGACCGCGACCACGCCATTGGCCACAACCGCGACCACGACCTTTACCTCGACCACTAATACTGGAATGGTCTTTGTTTTTAGTTTCTTTCCTGTTATGGGTTGTCACATTCGCTTCAAGGAATGGAGTAGAGCCAGTAGGACGTGATTCATGATTTTTCATTAACAACTCGTTATTTTGCTCAGCCACAAGAAGACAAGATATTAATTCAGAATATTTTTAAACCATTTTTCTCTATATTGTGTCAGCAGGACAATACTATTTACATGGAAAGTGGAGTATGTCTTTTCAAGCATTTCTACATCAGTAATATTTTCTCCACATAATTTCAATTGAGAAGTTATTTTAAACATCGCTGAGTTATATTCACTAACAGCTTTAAAATCTTGCAATCTCGAATTCAACCATTCATAACGAGCTCTAGGGAGTATCACTGTTTTTTGGTGGTCATACCTTTCCTTTAGATTACTCCAAAGGTATTGTGGATCTTTCACAGTTAAATATTCATTTTTGAGTCCTTCATGGAGATAATGTCGAAGGAATATCATGGCCTTTGCCTTATCTTGGAGTGTTGCTTTATTACCCTCCTTAATGGTTTCACCAAGGCCTTTAGCATCTAGGTGTATTTTAGCATCTAACACCCATGATAGATAATTCTTTCCGGTAATATCAAGGGTCACAAATTCAAGCTTAGTAAGGTTCGACATATTTCACTATACAAAATAACAAGACAAGATAAAATAGCATACAATAAACATATCCTATATGAAAACAATAATACCATTGTTAATGATTTAATCAAAGGGGATATCATGAGTTATACAATTCTTAACCTAACATATTCCGAACCTTGCGACATATGGAGCCACGATGAATTTGCAACGTTTACCCGTCTTTCTTACTTCATGCAAAAATGTATTCTTCACATATGTATAAGTTTCAAGGTAATCATTCTCAATTGAAGATTCAGAAATGAGTTGAGGACAAAAGAATGTGATCTCAGTCCTGTTGAAAAGGTCGATGAAGTTGTCTAATAAATTTAAACCTACATGATAAATACATAGAAAACAAAAAATTCAAAATTATAGCATTAAAAATATTACTATAGTGAATATAAGAACCAAAGTAAAGGAAGATTAAGTAACCTACATGATATAAACATAAATCAATGAAACATTAGCCCACGATCCTCTTAGAAATTCACGTACATCGGTCGCGGTTACCCAAATCTGTTTGTCGCTATCAAAATTAAACATTGAGGCCTTTAAAAGTACCGATGTTGTATCATACTTTGCATCATCAGAATTCATTAACCAATACAACAACTCACACCCTCGCCAAAAGTATCGACAATTTTATCTTCAAGTGGTAGGAATTTTGTGGGTTTGATGGTAGATTGCCTTGATTTCACACCACAACTATCGTCCCCTTCTTTGCTTTGGCGAGATCTATGCTTCTTTTTGGGCGATGGTGAAACCTTTACAAATAGGTGAATATTAGTCTAGATAAAGTATACAAAAATGATGAGATTCAATGTTAATAGTAGGAGAATATACTTCTTCAAAAAAAAAACCATGTCTATAGGCCATAGTACAAAGGAAGACTTGGCTTTTCCCAACTTAGTCACACCATCGGAAGACGGTACCGGTATATCGAGGAGGGCACAGTCGGGATAAGGGTTGTCCACACTAACCTTGTAATAATCAGGTAATATCTTCAGGTTGTGAGTAACTTCACCGGTAACAGGATATACCGTTCCATCTGCCACAACCACTAAATTTTGGTTGTACTCATCTTTCAATGCTAGGTGACATTTAGTGGCATTCTTTAGGTCTATAGCCCACGATCCATCTGCATTACGAGTTTGACGGGCCAAAATCCAGTAAAGAGACCGATTTTTAAGCTTTTCACTCATTACACAGCTTGTCGTGGACTCTATGGTTCTTGAGGTTGAAGATTCTGCTGGAATTCTATTGGTCTTACTCCAATCAACTCGAGCCCTCTCATAACTCTTGGAGCCTAGATGGTGGTGATGCTTATTATTCTTTGCATTTTCCTTGCCTTTTTCACTCAGAGCCTATTACAAAATGGAAAGCTATTGTAAGTAGTATTGTAGTTGAAATAAAGTATATATGTGAAAAAAACTTTCATAATATCTTACACACCTTAAATTCATCTGTATTGCAATATGTCTCAAACTCTTTCCATTGATCTTATGTGATGTAACCTTCATAAAGCTCCCTGGGCTTAATGTTTGCACTTGGTGAGTCAGGCTGAGTCAGGCGGAGGTGCAGTTTCCTTAGTAATGAATCGTGAAACTAACCAAGACTTGTGCTTCCTAAATCTAGCACCAACAGCTTCGTGGAACTTCTTCTCTTTACTACCCTTGGGATCATCAATGTGGAACTTCCGCTACAAAATTAGAGAATGTTAATATTCATAATTAATTATAAGTATCGTTAAATTTAGAGCAATAAACCATATTTATATCGTAATTACCTTACTCTCCTCCCACAAGTTTTGCTTTTGAACTTTATCATACTTCGGATATCCCTTCACATTAATGTTAACTCTTTGAGCACAATTACCAATTTGCTTCCCATAAGCAGATTCCCACTTTCCAATAGGCATGTCAAAATCATCAAATTCGAGGAACATGGGTGTAGTTGTTTGGACTGATCTAGACGGGCCTCATCCCTTTTTTGTAGAAGATTTTACTTGGGAAGTGGAGGCATCCATGTCACCAGATTGTTCATGTCCATCATGATCGTCTCTGTTTTCTTCCATTGTAGTATGCCTACACCTACACAAAGAATGAAATTAACAAGAATAGAATTAAAATCATAACAATAAAATCATATTAATGTAAATGCTATACAATAAAGAAATTAATGATTTAGATATATACCAATTAAATAAATTCAATATTAATTGCAAAAAAATACTATTGTTAAAGGAATATAATAACACAAACCTTGGTTGTAGTTATAGGAACCACTAACCCTTCCTCACGATCATACTCTACATCGTCAACAATATCTTCCCCTTCTTGTAGAGGTTGCACTCCCATTGTTATAGGCGGGATGTCATCAAATTAGTCATACTCTTCTTCATCCACAACATCTTCCACACCCACAATTGTCTCTTGCCTTCAACTACAACACGCCATTGCGGATCTATATTATCCTTGATGTAGAATACTTGTTTCGATTATGAGGCTAATACAAAAGGCTCTTCACCATCAGTATAACAACTAGAGTCAACCAAGGTGAATCCAAATAACTCATCGGTTTTCATACCACGACGGTTATCAGCCCATGTGCAACGAAATAAAGGAATTGTGAAATCAACATAATCTAACTCCCAGATTTCTTGAATGACACCATAATATGCCTGTGTAGCTTCAACTGGCCTTGTATCCCTAGAACTTGAGTATTCAGTAGAAGATGCAACCACGACAGCACCACTATTTTGTTGCACACTTTTTTCATCTTGACGACAAGTGGCAAAAGTAAATCCATTGATATCGTAACCCTCATAAGTATACACAAGTGGTTGTGGAACTCGTGAAAGCCACTTGATCATTTCAGAAACATTCTCATCTCTACTCAATTCAAGCTTCACTTGGCCTTCAAACCACTCAACAAAGTGGCGATTATGCTCTTGCATCAACGCATAGGAGCTGATCCTGGGATTGTGATTTTTCAACTCATGAAGATGTTTTTCAATATATGGATGAACTGCAGATAGGTTTTGTAGAACAAATCGATGGGCTTTCTTATATCGATCAAGTGGAGGTTTAACCAATTTCCGACCTACTGTACCCTTTCCTTGAAGTCTTCCCTCGTGACAAGAAGTCGGAATCCCACTTTCTTTAGCCTTAACTAAAAACACTGAACAATAGTTCCCTGCTTCCTCTGCTATGAACCCTTTCACGATGCTCCCTTTAGGATTTGCTCTTTTCTTTGCCTTATCTTCCAAAGTACCCATTTGCCTCTCATAAGGGTATATCAACGCATAAATACATGACCGCCCTCCTTTATCTCACGAGGCAAGTGCATAACAAGGTGAGTCATTATGTCAAAAAAGGAAGGAGGAAAATACATCTCGAATTTGCATAATGTTTCAACAATATCATATTCCATATCATCAAGTGTTTTTGGATTTATCACCTTACTACAAATTGCATTGAAAAACAAGCAAAGCTTCACAATAGCATGCCTAACATGTTTTGGCAAAAGGCCGCGGAGTGCAATTGGCATGAACACTTGCATCATCGCATGACAATCATGGGACTTCATACCAACAATTTTCTTATCAGTAGTAGAAACAAAACGCCTTATGTTCGAAGAATACCCTGTTGGCACCTTGATTCCTTTCAAACACTCACAAAAGATCCTTTTTTCTTCTCTAGACAATGTATAACACGCATGGGGCAAAAATGCTTTTTTCGTTGCTTCATTTTCCTCAGCCCATAACTTAGGTCGAATTTTAGCTTCCTTCATGTCTCTACGGACATTAACACCATCCTTTGTCTTCCCTTTGATATTCAACAAAGTCCCAATTAGTGCCTCATAAACATTTTTTTCAATGTGCATAACATCAAGACAATGTCGAACCGACAAGTGCTTCCAATAAGGGAGATCGCACAACTTAGACACTTTTTTCCACAACACACCCTTCTTCGGTATCTCTCTGTGCATCTTACCGAAGATTGTCTTAACATTTTTAATTTTCTCACACACTTCAATTCCTGTCAATAGCTCACGACTCACTCCCTTCTCAACATGGCCGTCGAATTGTTGCCTCATCTTCCTGTATGGGTGATTTCGACGAAGTGATCATCTGGTATGCATGTACACATTCTTCCCCCAATGCTTCAAGCGTGTAATTTTCATGTCATCCTCACAAATAGAGCATGATTTTTGTCCTCTGACTTTGTACCCTGACAAATTTCCATATGCAGGAAAGTCATTAATAGTACAAAACACCATGGCTCTTAATCTGAAATTTGTACCCGAAAGAGCATCAAATGTCACAACACCTTCATCCCACAACAGTTTCAAATTTTCAATAAGGGGCTCCAAATAAACATCTATCTCATGGCCAGGTTGTTTAGGACCTGGGATTAGAAGTGATAACATGATGTACTTGCGCTTCATGCACAACCAAGGAGGTAGGTTGTATATTGACAGAAGAACAGGCCATGTACTGTGTTTACTACTAAGAGTGCTAAATGGATTCATCCCATCCGTACTTAATGCGAGTCTTATGTCCCTCGGCTCCTTCCCGAATTCTGGAAATGTCTTGTCAATGTGTTTCCATTGCAACGAATCAGCTGGGTGTCTGATCAACCCATCCTTCTTCCTCTTATTTTCATGCCAAACCAACTTCTTTGCTTCATCCTTAATTGAGAACAGGCGCTTTAACCTTGGTATTATAGGAAGATACCATACTACCTTAGCTGGTGGCCACTTCAAGGGATCCTTATTTAAGCCCTCTCGCTTGTATCGTGGCACACCACACTTTGGGCAAGCATCCAATTTTGCATTCTCCTTTCGATATAGCACACAATCATTAGGACATGCATGGATCTTGGTGTACTCTAAACCCAATGGACACATCAACTTCTTCGCATAGTAAGTCGACTTAGGAATGTCATTTCCTTCTGGATACATATCAAAGAGGGTTTCCAACAACAAAGTGAAAGTAGTGTTGGTCCACCCGCTCTTTGCTTTCAAGTTATATAAAGTTAAAATCCCAGAAAGCTTGGAATACTTAGAACAATCAGGATACCACGGTGTCTCAGCTGCTTTCGACACATTCTCATATATATGAGAATCTTCATTAACATGATCGCCTAACCCGTCTATCATCTCTTCTATCCTGTCTTCCTCCATGTCATCATTAAAACCCACTTCATTATCATCAAAACCATTCGGCTCTCTCTCATCAGCTTCATTGTCGTTAATAGAAGAATTATCCGCGGGAGGAAATTTTTCACCATGCCAATACCAAATACTGTAGTCTGGCATAAACCCACGAATAATCAAATGGTCCTCTATTTTCTTAATGTCTTCCCACCTCTTCACATTGTTACAATCACGACAAGGGCAGAAAATAGGTCTTGCTTTGGTTAGCCTTTGTTCAACGAGTGTACTCCATTGGTGTTGCACTGCGATTCTACAGAACTCGTTGACCCCGGCTAAGTATTTTGGTGTGGTTCGAGAACCATTATACATCCAACGACGGTCCATTTCTAAAAATGTATGATTAAAACCCAAGAAACAAATTATATTCAACATCACATATCAACACATTCCAAATGCATGATTCCAAAGGACCTTATCGCTCCAACCTAATCCATCCTTGGAAGTGTATTCTCACTAGCAAATGGTTGACCATTTTTCGGCCCTAAGGAAATTTCGGCAGCATTTCCCTATGGTTCTCAAAGTACACGATGTAATTAATTTCTTTATTACATATGTACCCCGAGAACACATTAGGGAATGCTAACACAAAATTACCTTTACTTCCGAAAAACAAGCAACCATTTGCATCCTAAGTGAGAATACAATTCCAAGAACAGTCCCAAACGGGGACTATTCAAGATTTACTCCTAATGAGTAAATCTTGAACGGGTATCTAGGCATATGAAGATATAATGGATAATAAATATTAACACATTCAAGATCAATCATGTCAAATAAAAGTAACCAAATACATAAACATGAGTTATTTACCTAACAAAGAAAATTTGATATTTGATGCAAATAAATTATGCACATACAATAAAATAGACCAACCATGAAATTATACACTAAAAGTATCTATATAAAGTAAAACATACTTTTTAATTTTCCAAATGAGAGAAAAATATTCACCTCTACCTCTAATTATTAGGAATTCGTCACAAAAACCTCCATTTCCTATCCTCTTACATAGTAACACTAATTCTTCATTTAACACACCTAATTAACACACTCATTCTTCATCATCACTTGGATTAAAAATTTCTACGCTAATCACATTATCTAATACACAATCAATCTTAGTTTAATTTCAATTCTCTTAGCTAAACAAATCATCGTTAAAAGTTTAAGACAAAACAATTTCAATCAACAAAATACACTACACCACATGAAAAATGCCGAAAATTAAGACTAAAAACATACCTTGCCTTGCTTATAAAGGCGCCAGAGCTTGTCCTGACTTCACTAAACTGGCTATCCAATACTCATTACTGTCGCACGGTTCCTGCAGACAATATTTCAGTGTTTTCAGCATCACTCTCCCCAATTATAGCAAAAACAATGAATTGAAAACTAAAACTTCATGTTCAAAAAGAACAGAAATAATTAAAAAAATTAATTAAAAAATTCAACTGAAAAAAATCAAAAAATGATTGAACTAGAAAAAAATTCAACTGTTCTTCACCTCACTACCAAAAAAAATATATGAAAACCTTAACAGATTTAATTTTTCTAAAAGTTAAGGCTAGGAAAAAAAATAAAACTTATTACTTTGAGTAAAGTAAACTTATTACCTTGAGTTCTTCACATGCCGGAAAAAACCGCAAGAAACCACCACCCACCGGAGTTGCGAGGGGAAAACGAGGAACTTGCGAGAGAGAAAGGGTTCAGGATAACCCCTACTCGATGAAAGATTAGAACTTGATTAGTTGAATTCGAAAGAGCAATGAAAGATTAGAACTTTAGAGAAACATTGTGGGAGATTTTGTTAGTAGG